GTCATCATCGAGGTGCCCATTGAATCCCTCACCATCGCAATGACGGCCCTTCCACGCCTCGACTTCCACCTTGTCCCCAACTTCTCCGTCTCGGAGGCCTTCCGCTACACGCACCACCTAATCGACCCGCTCGAGCTAACACACTTCGTTGAGGTGGTCGGGACAAACAGCAACGACCTCGATGAACTCCTCGCCGCTGTCCGCCACGCACACATGTCTGCCACTACATACACCAACCAGAAGCTTGTCAAGGCCATGAGGCAGCTACAGGCAGCGTGGGCAAAGGATCCCTCCCTTCGCGAGGCGGTCATAAAGTTGGCACGCTTTCCGTTTGAAGAAGGACAGAGCGAGGGATACGACTACTCCAGCCTACGCAACGAGGCTCTTCGAGACATAGTCATGTACAATGCAGTTGCGGATGTCTGGATGTTCCAACAGAAGGTGTTTCACACAGCGGCTTGCTGTTGGCAGTAGCCATCCATGTGTGCAGCCCGAAGGTGTCTTGTTGTTTTGTTGGCCCCTGTGCGTGCAGAGGTGACTGTCGCATGGACGTCCCACGGACACTGCTCTCACTGACAGCTTTCTTTCCCCTGCTTTCAACCCTAGCTCTCACGTAGGAAGCAATGAGCAAACTTGGCGCGATTCTCTACGGTGCGGTGGGCTTCCTTGCCTTCCTGTTCGTGCTGGTTGGGACGCCGATAGACCAGTTCCGCACGAAGGAGAAGAAAGCCACTGGCAACACGCCGTGCATTACGTTGTGGGGAGTTAAAGAAGACTGCCAAAGCATGAAGTATGAATTCACCTTTTGGGAAGATTTTCGTGAATGTCCCTCAGTCTTGAGGCTGTTCAGGATGGCCGGGGCGTTCTCCATTATTTCCATTTTGTTGCTGCTTGCTGCAACCATACTTGGCGTGGCGGCACACTTCTACCTAAAATCCCTCAAGATCTTTGCGACGCTGCTGTTGGTGGTCAGCATTGTGACGGTTGGGCTCGTTTGGGTACCCATGGCCTACCTTTACAAACGTGACGTGGACAACTGCTTTGGAGAACCGATAGAAAGGTGGTCGAAATACGGTTCTGGCTTTCTCATCATTGTGATTGGATGGTGTCTGATATTTGTCGCCGTCGTGCTTCTGCGTGTGCTATAGCGGGTGCATCCACCGTCTGCATGCGCCGCTGGAGGCCAAAAGCGTATTCTGCTCTACTATGCCCCGTGCCGTGCAGCTTTGTGGATGACCTCCCTGCAATATTTGATGAGGATACTTTCTTTGGTTTTATTTATTTTATTTTTTTGTTGTTTTTGTGACTGCGTCCAATCACCCTGTGTTACCCAGTGCTGTTAGAGGTGGAGCGGGTGCTATAATGACATGTGTGCATCTGCTGTCCCTCTGTGTGTGTGGGCGAACGCTTGTTCCCCGGCCCAGGGAGAAATGAATAGATGGTAAGCAGGCAAGAAGAAACGGAAGGAGGAAGAGAATTACGTTGTGTACTCTGACGAGGGTCTCCACGAGGGACCCGCGTCGCCGTCTGTTTGTGATGGGACGTTTTTTATTTTTATTTTCTACTACTTGAATGCGCGGTGATGGGCGATTTTGTGCGTGTTTGCCCGTCTGCGCGTTTGTGTTTACTGCTCGCTCCCTTCTTCCCGTCGGTCCACAATTTGCCTCTGTTGGCGTCACGCGATGAATTTTGATTGTGTCCTTCGGTGCTGCCTTTTTTGTTTTTGTGCTAGCGTTTTTTTTTTTTTGTGTGTGTGTCTGTGTGAGCGGCACTGCTGAGAGAAGCGTCCTGGCGTATTTCTGTGTCGTGTGCGGTGTGCCGCTTTGCTCACTTTGCTGGCTCGTTTCTGAGTGCTGTGCAGTTTCTGCATCTTTTTTTCCTTTTTTTTTGCATTGCCTGGTTTTGTGTGCTGCTCCCCTGCTTCGGAGGGGCTGCCGCTGCCCGCCCTGCGAGCACACAAGGCGCGGGGGCAATAATTGGCGGTCTGGTGGCCAAAGTCAATGGGAATGGTACCTTTGCAGTACTTTTGGATAATGACCGCTTTGATCCCGCCGTGCCACGTGAGATGATCACTCTGTCTGAAGGCCGTTCAAAGTTCATCTCGAACGAGAAGTTTCAGGAGGTGCTGGAGTGGGTCAAATCCGCTGGAGTGGACCGTCGCTCCGACCAGGAGAGCACCTCGTGCATCCTTTTTCACCGGGGCTGGAGAGCGGACAAGTTGTACCTGCTGGATGGCGCTGACGTGCACTGTCTCTCACACCTCAACAAGTCTGTGCGCATGAGCGTACTGGAGAAGTCGGAGTGGGAGCGTGACCAGCACCGGCAGAAGCGCGAGCAAATCAAGGAGCGCATGAAAGAGAAGGAGATGCGGTATGTCCTCACCAAGTACAGTGGCGTCTTCAGTGCCTGCGTGGCCGTACTGGGTGTCGTGTCTGTGTTCGGTTGGAATTTTAAAAATTACAAAAAGCAGCAGCGCTCCTATCAGTTGGCCATTGCGGCAAGTGCGCTCTCCCAACCGCACAGCAAACGGCCGATAAAAGACTATGTGCACCGCGAAGATGAGGAGCAGCGCCTGCGCCAGACCCTAAGACAGCAGGATCTTTCCCACCCGCGCATTCTCGTCTTTGCTGGGTTTTATGGCTGCGGAAAAAGCATTCTGTTTCGCTCTGCGATTCGCAAGGAAAAGATGGCGGCTGCCTTTGTTGACATTCGTCCAAACGAGGACCCTCTCCGCTCCATCGTGAAATCCTTGAACGTGCAGAATATCGACGCCTGCGGCGATCTTCTCAACTTCATTGGAGAGGCCTCGGATCGCGCAAGGAAGGCAATGCATGGCGTCACCCCACTGTTCGTGCTCAAGATTCGTGACGGCAGCTCGCTACTTCGCATCTACAACGAAGTTGTGGCATTGGCGTGCGATCGACGGCTCTGCCACGTCATCATCGAGGTGCCCATTGAATCCCTCACCATCGCAATGACGGCCCTTCCACGCCTCGACTTCCACCTTGTCCCCAACTTCTCCGTCTCGGAGGCCTTCCGCTACACGCACCACCTAATCGACCCGCTCGAGCTAACACACTTCGTTGAGGTGGTCGGGACAAACAGCAACGACCTCGATGAACTCCTCGCCGCTGTCCGCCACGCACACATGTCTGCCACTACATACACCAACCAGAAGCTTGTCAAGGCCATGAGGCAGCTACAGGCAGCGTGGGCAAAGGATCCCTCCCTTCGCGAGGCGGTCATAAAGTTGGCACGCTTTCCGTTTGAAGAAGGACAGAGCGAGGGATACGACTACTCCAGCCTACGCAACGAGGCTCTTCGAGACATAGTCATGTACAATGCAGTTGCGGATGTCTGGATGTTCCAACAGAAGGTGTTTCACACAGCGGCTTGCTGTTGGCAGTAGCCATCCATGTGTGCAGCCCGAAGGTGTCTTGTTGTTTTGTTGGCCCCTGTGCGTGCAGAGGTGACTGTCGCATGGACGTCCCACGGACACTGCTCTCACTGACAGCTTTCTTTCCCCTGCTTTCAACCCTAGCTCTCACGTAGGAAGCAATGAGCAAACTTGGCGCGATTCTCTACGGTGCGGTGGGCTTCCTTGCCTTCCTGTTCGTGCTGGTTGGGACGCCGATAGACCAGTTCCGCACGAAGGAGAAGAAAGCCACTGGCAACACGCCGTGCATTACGTTGTGGGGAGTTAAAGAAGACTGCCAAAGCATGAAGTATGAATTCACCTTTTGGGAAGATTTTCGTGAATGTCCCTCAGTCTTGAGGCTGTTCAGGATGGCCGGAGCGTTCTCCATTATTTCCATTTTGTTGCTGCTTGCTGCAACCATACTTGGCGTGGCGGCACACTTCTACCTAAAATCCCTCAAGATCTTTGCGACGCTGCTGTTGGTGGTCAGCATTGTGACGGTTGGGCTCGTTTGGGTACCCATGGCCTACCTTTACAAACGTGACGTGGACAACTGCTTTGGAGAACCGATAGAAAGGTGGTCGAAATACGGTTCTGGCTTTCTCATCATTGTGATTGGATGGTGTCTGATATTTGTCGCCGTCGTGCTTCTGCGTGTGCTATAGCGGGTGCATCCACCGTCTGCATGCGCCGCTGGAGGCCAAAAGCGTATTCTGCTCTACTATGCCCCGTGCCGTGCAGCTTTGTGGATGACCTCCCTGCAATATTTGATGAGGATACTTTCTTTGGTTTTATTTATTTTATTTTTTTGTTGTTTTTGTGACTGCGTCCAATCACCCTGTGTTACCCAGTGCTGTTAGAGGTGGAGCGGGTGCTATAATGACATGTGTGCATCTGCTGTCCCTCTGTGTGTGTGGGCGAACGCTTGTTCCCCGGCCCAGGGAGAAATGAATAGATGGTAAGCAGGCAAGAAGAAACGGAAGGAGGAAGAGAATTACGTTGTGTACTCTGACGAGGGTCTCCACGAGGGACCCGCGTCGCCGTCTGTTTGTGATGGGACGTTTTTTATTTTTATTTTCTACTACTTGAATGCGCGGTGATGGGCGATTTTGTGCGTGTTTGCCCGTCTGCGCGTTTGTGTTTACTGCTCGCTCCCTTCTTCCCGTCGGTCCACAATTTGCCTCTGTTGGCGTCACGCGATGAATTTTGATTGTGTCCTTCGGTGCTGCCTTTTTTGTTTTTGTGCTAGCGTTTTTTTTTTTTTGTGTGTGTGTCTGTGTGAGCGGCACTGCTGAGAGAAGCGTCCTGGCGTATTTCTGTGTCGTGTGCGGTGTGCCGCTTTGCTCACTTTGCTGGCTCGTTTCTGAGTGCTGTGCAGTTTCTGCATCTTTTTTTCCTTTTTTTTTGCATTGCCTGGTTTTGTGTGCTGCTCCCCTGCTTCGGAGGGGCTGCCGCTGCCCGCCCTGCGAGCACACAAGGCGCGGGGGCAATAATTGGCGGTCTGGTGGCCAAAGTCAATGGGAATGGTACCTTTGCAGTACTTTTGGATAATGACCGCTTTGATCCCGCCGTGCCACGTGAGATGATCACTCTGTCTGAAGGCCGTTCAAAGTTCATCTCGAACGAGAAGTTTCAGGAGGTGCTGGAGTGGGTCAAATCCGCTGGAGTGGACCGTCGCTCCGACCAGGAGAGCACCTCGTGCATCCTTTTTCACCGGGGCTGGAGAGCGGACAAGTTGTACCTGCTGGATGGCGCTGACGTGCACTGTCTCTCACACCTCAACAAGTCTGTGCGCATGAGCGTACTGGAGAAGTCGGAGTGGGAGCGTGACCAGCACCGGCAGAAGCGCGAGCAAATCAAGGAGCGCATGAAAGAGAAGGAGATGCGGTATGTCCTCACCAAGTACAGTGGCGTCTTCAGTGCCTGCGTGGCCGTACTGGGTGTCGTGTCTGTGTTCGGTTGGAATTTTAAAAATTACAAAAAGCAGCAGCGCTCCTATCAGTTGGCCATTGCGGCAAGTGCGCTCTCCCAACCGCACAGCAAACGGCCGATAAAAGACTATGTGCACCGCGA